TGCCTCGAGCGGCCCTTGTAAGCAGATGGCGGCGCAGCACTGAAATGAGCTGCCCTGGAACCGAATAACGGCGGAGCATCCGGTCCTGGCGCGTGTATTGCGCGTTTACACAACAATGCTTGGTGGTACTTGAAAGCGTGAATCTTATTGAAATACTTGAGTCTGCACTTGCCGGCAGCGCCTTCATTTTCTGAAATCTACGAGGATAGTCGACATTGAAGTAATAGAAAACATTTGTTATATTTGGAGAGCAGAGCAGGCTGTCACGTATGAAGGTTCGTTTTGGACAAAACGTCCAAAACGAACCTTGGTGTGCACAATAGCGAAGCATTCGCAGCTCTTTCTCAACAACCTCCATCCCTCTCAAGAAAAAAAAAATCGAAAAACGTTAGCTTGCATTCCTGTTTAGAGGGTCATGATTTCTTGAAAATTTCAGCGAGATACATCAACCGTTGAAATTAAACGATACCAAAACTACAGCGTAAAATATATTTCGGTACACTTGGCTTTTGACGATTGGCCTAGATTGGCCAAATCGTGGGCATAAGAGCATTGTCAGAATGTCAACTTCGACAGTGCTGGTTTAAAAACACGATGGCTCCTAGCTTCTACTATGATTTTTAAACACACCATTTTACTTGTCGTATCTGATGGTAAGCAGACAGGGTCAGAGTGACGCCACCGCGAGGCAAACCTCTGTCGTGATGTCATGGATGGAAATCCTAAGAAGGCACCACAAAAACATCCTTTCGAAAATAGAGCTATTTCCATCCCTGACTGATTGCAGGACACAAACATATACTAACACATAGACGACCAAAACCACGCAAGGTAATTGACTGATCGGTCCCGTTTGCCATGACAATCGCCATTTCGGTCTTTTCCAATCTTCAAAGTTTCGAAAGGGTTGATCTGAACCAGCTGCGCCAAGGTCGCTAGGGAGAGTCATCGTAGTGAAAGCGTTCCTCGCCAATATAAACAGCTCTGGCACGGCGCATGAAAGCAATTTATCAATTATGCTTATCTAGACAGATCTCTTATAATAATATTGTTCTTCGAGGCAGAAAAAAATATTTTTTAGTGCCGCCAAGCAACGACGCTTCATATGATGGAGGTGCGAAGATGCGTCTTGTTTAGCTGGTCTGGGAATAACAAAATCTCGGTATACAAGAAATGTCTTTACAAAGAACCCGTCCCACCGATTTCGAATCAGCTCACCAAGAATTCAGAAATCAAAGGGAAACTGCTCACACCATCAACCGAAATGGCCAAAATTCTCACACCATTAATCAATACTAAAACATCACCATCAACCAAAATGACTTGGCGCAACTTTGTCATGATCTAGTGAATGCACAACATACACACACACAAAAAAAAAAGTATAGGCGTGTAGCTCCCAAGGCTACAGTGCCACTAGAGAACAAAAGAAGAAAGTTTCCGAAAAAAGGGAACCGCGATTTTCGGCTCGAATAAATAGGCTCTGCATCGCAGAATGCTCAAACTCCGTGAGAATGTGGCGCTGGCGTTTGAGATAGATAGACGCGAAAGCTTGAAAACGTAAAGTTACCTGTAGAAAAGAAAAGATTGAGAAACACGAATTTTGTTTTTGAGTCGACGTCTACCGAAGCCTATATCGTCGAAACAAAAACAGACGTTGTGAACGCTTTTGGGATTTATATCAGTGAAAAACACTGGTTAGCAAGAAAGAATATGGTTTTCTTTCTTGTTGAGATTTTTTGTGGGTGTTAATGAATAGGGCTTACGGGAGCCTACAGTATTACTTTTTTTTTTGGCGATGTTAGACTTGGGTGGACGTCAACTCAGAGAAAATTTTCGTCTCTCTCAATTGTCTTTTCATCCCTGTAACGTCATGTTCTCAAACATTCCGCGTTCTTTCCCAACCGCTATCACGTTCTCACGGCGTTCGAGCTTTCTGCGATGAATAGTTTATTTATCCGGGAAGAAAAGCACAGTTCTCTTTCCTCGAAAACTAAAGCGCGTCCCCACTACCCCATCCTCAAATAAAAAAAAAAAAAATATATATATATATATATATATATATATATATATATATATATATATATATATATATATATATATATATATATATATTGTTTGTTTTTTTTGTTCTTTTTTCTTTTTTGCAAAAATAAACTTACCATCGTCAAACGTTTATTCTCCGCCCAAATGTAGCGCTAGAGGTCCGAACCAGATGCCAAAGTTTCAGCACTTTTTTTTTTTTTGAGCTGTTGTAATTAAGGTGTTTAACCAACTAGCCCAACAGTTAATTTTAATTTCAGCACTTACTGTTATCTTATGCGAAAGTTAACTGATTTTCTGAAACTGCCAAAGATAACCTGGGGCCCATTTTCGGCCGTCTTCGGTAACTGGCGCCATAGTTATGTATTCGAGAGCCTTGGTCTGCCTCCATTTTCCCCAATAAAAATTTCAGGAAATCGCTCATAACTTTTTAATAAGATAACGGTTAGTGCTGAAACGTTGACATCTTATTAGGACCTCTAGCGCTACATCAGCGTTCGCGATGCAGGGATTATTTTTGCGATAAAAAAACAACACAAGTAACTTTTTGTCTTTTTTTTTTTGGGGGGGGGGGGGGGGTCATTTTTTACTTGCATAACATTTTTATGTCCTCCCTAGGCCTCTTCCGCGCCCAGCAGAAATACGCGAGAGGACAGCAGACGATAAAATAAAACAAATATTTTTCAAAGCCTCGGCATACCCCCCCCCCCCCCCCCCCCCCCCCCCCCTAAATACCGCATCTCTAATCGTGCCGATACCAACCGAAATTAGATCTCGGCTCAGGATCCCACCCTCACCCAGGAACATGAACCCGACCTTCTATATATAACGCCGCAAAGCCCGAGCGAAGGCCCTTCACAAGCTGTGCGCTGGGCGTCCCGACGTATATTACGTAGACGCGGAAAACTACAGCGAACACCGGGACCGCTATGCTTTGGCCGTGGTGGATGGGACGGGGCGCATTGTAGTGATGGCCTCAGTCAAGGAGGATTCCCTCACCAGAGCGGAGGAAGCTGCAATCGGCGTGGCCCAGAACCACGCGTCCGAGTCGTTACGTACCATAATCTGTGACTCCAAGACAACAATTCTCAGCTTTAGCTCAGGTCGCATCTCTCGATCGACAACAAAGCTCCTAACATTCAAATCATCCATCATCCCTCCAATCACACACGTAATCCCATTAATCTGGTCTCCGGATCATGAGGGGGTCGGTGGTAACGAGGCGGTCCACTCCGCGGCCCGAAATGCGACTCGCCGGGCCGGGACATGCGGGGCGGTTGGCGTAGCCATTCCGATTGCTAACGAGCCAAGAGATCTCCCACGGCATAAGGAACCACTTCGTGGTTTCCATGATATTACACAACACCACAGATTACAGCGCCAGATATACCCACCACCACATAAGTCACTCAACAGACGCCAACAAGTATTATGGCGCCAACTTCAGACGAATACCCTTCCTAACCCCCACGACACTCAGACACTACCCCTCGAACCTATACAAGGCCTGATGCACCAGATGATGCAACAAAGGACACCGACGAACACAACAAGGCCACGATCGAACATATATTCTGGTCCTGCACGGCCGATCCCCCACCCTCTTCCCTCACACACGACACTTGACACAACGAGACGCTCAGTGGACGACCCTGCTGCTCAGCTCCGACTGCGTTATCCAACTCGCTGCGATCACAAGAGCCGAGCAAATCGCCGCCCGGCCCAGTCCGCCCGGCCACTCTGCAGGGGAGGCACCACGCCGGCCGTAGAAGAAACCCAACGTTCTGGATCTTATTAGGCTTTGATAAAGTTTATTCTTTCTCTCTCTCATCATACAGAAAAGTTCATTTGTTTCTAAATGTGAAGTGAAACTGCCATCAATGTTCACATATATCATTAAACTTATTATTTATCGCGGTTATCCTGCCCGTCGCCAGCCTTTTCTATAGCGCTCTGGGTGTTTTTGCGTTCTTCACACCCCTTGGGAGCGAGTTTGCAAACCGGTATGCAGACAAAGACTCAGACCGATGTAGAACGTAGGAAATGCAAAACTACCATTTAGGTTCTTTTTCTTTTTTTTCTCATTAGCTTTGATTTGAGCACTATAAAAAATACATACATTTTTCTTTCTTTTTTTTTTTTTTGCAAAACGACGTTTGCGTGCCCAGTTTTAGGTGTACGTTTTTAATGCGAATTTAGTGAGGCGTGCTAAATGTTCTGATCCTTACGGCCGCACCGCCGCACCCTGCACTTCCGATAATCTCGAACGTGGTTGGAACTTTGAATCCAGTTGGAAATCAAAGCTTGTTCTACGTTATGTAAGCCAATGTAATCTATGTCTTGACTGGCTCGTATCTCGCGCCGCCCGTCGGCTGCTTCCGGCAGCGGCGGACGCAGGGCGAAGGTGATCTAGCTCGAGATCGGTGGCGAACAGCCCATGGCCCGAGCCCACTCCGAGCGCCCGACCTGCATGCGGAGGAGCTGCGAGCATGCAACTCGTTTGTTCCGGAAAAATTCTGCGCCATCTATGAGGGAAAGGCTACAAATAAATCGCGGTTTTATTAAAAATGCCACCATTAAAAATTCCACTATTAAAAATAGTTTTATTAAAAATGCCACCACGTCGGCGGGGTCGTGTCTTTTAAATTGTTCTCACATCTGGTAAGGGCCCAAAGGAGTCGTATAGGTATAAAGGAAACATTTGATGATACCTTTAACTTGCATGCGACCGCGAAGTCTGTTCCTCTTGAATGGGAACCGAGACGATCGAAATGGTGAGCGGAGCGCGTGGTTGGGATCTCCAGGGGCGCGCATTGTCTCCAGAGTATGCCACCCCAAGAACGTTCGAGGCATCTGGTGCCGCGACCGCAGTTGCGCGTCTGAACCCCAATGTCAGCCGCATAGGCAGGCAGGGTGAGCGTCAATGGCTCCTTGTATAGGCTAGGCGCCCAGCCAAGATGCCGTCGGTTCCTAAAAAGCCTCAAGGCCAATCTGGTCAGGCGGACAAGGCGGGTAAGGCGGACAAGGCCGACAACGATAAAAGCGACGATTACAACAAAAGCGAGATTTCGGACACGAAAGAAAAATCGGGCAAAAGTGACTCTGGCAGCCAGGACAAGAGCGACGACAAAACGTCGTCTAAAACTCAGAGCCAAAGCAAAAGTAAGGACAAAAGTCGCGATACGTCACCGGAAAAGGACCACGGCAAGAACCCGGACAAGGACGGGAGCAACGAAAAGTCGTCGAGCAAGACCCAGAGCAAGAGCCAAGACAGGAGTCAAGAGAAGAACCCCGAGAAGAGCCAGGGCAAGAAGGAAAAGAGCAAGGAGCGCGACGAGAAAGGCGACGAGAAGGACACAGCCGAAGAAGGCAGTCTTCACGAAGGGAGCCAGCAGCACGGAGGTGCCAAGAGCGAGACGTGAGTTGGCGCACCGGTGGGCCGCTCCCGCCTTCGTTTCATCAGGAAGTTTTCGTAGATGGTCTTCGCCCCCCCGCAACGCTCTCCGCAACCAGCTACGATACCCGGACCTCTAGAGTTAAGGTCATCGGCGCGCAGGCGCAGTAGCGACTTCTTCGTTGCGGAGGGCTTAGCAGGGGTAAACGCGGTCTAGGAAAACTCCCCATTCACTCGACACTCGGAGCTTGCTGCCCAAGCAGCACATTACGACCGGCTCAAGCTTGAGCCAGACTGGGTAGCCAGGGAAGTTTCAGTGGGCCTAGATTGTTTTGCACCATGGCGCTAGGCAGCCCCATCCTGGTATGCCAGTCTGGCGACCACCGGCAGTTGCCTGTGCAGCCATTGACTGACTCACCGCTGGAATTATGGCCTGGGCCAGGCGGGAAGCTCAGTGGTACCCCAAGCTTGGCTCTTTATTGTACATACAGCATGGGCCAGGTTAGTGGCCGGGTGGTCAGCCAAGCTTGGCTAGACAATAGAAATTCACCATGCAGTTAAACCAGTTTAACTGGTCATATTGACAACACACGTGGTAAATTAATAAAATTCAATTTATACCCACTAAAATACATACTGCAGGCTGCAAAAATAAACATAAAAGCATATGTACAATGCAAAAAAATTTGCATTATATTATTCATGTGTCCCAGGCGGTTGGCGAGATTCTCCAGATCTTCTGGAGTGTCGGGGTTCCGGTGGTGGCTAACATAGTGCCGCAAGGCATCTGAAAAAAGAATAAACATCAGTAATTAGAATCATGGCAGATTTATTTGCACCCGTCTGTCTAAAACGGTTAATAACTAATGCCACTAACAAAAAAATATGCTCTATCATAAACAGTAGGAGAGGGAAATGGAAGCCTGTGCCAGTCGTACATGTGGTGCCAGTCACGCGACAATTAAGTAGGAACCGCATGTAAGAGATTTGACGAGCCACGAGACAAGCGACGACGATCCGCTTCACTGTCGTTCGGTCACTCGCGCGACGCGGCAAACCGCATGAAAGAGCGACGGGAGCAAGCGACCAAGGCGATGAGCGACGATTTCTAGAAATCCAAAAACCGAGCGATGCGACAAGCGACCGTGGGATATCTCCGCCGCTCGTCGCCGACTCTCGTCGCTCGCTTAATCGCTTAGATGCGGTTCAGTCTTTGCGTTGCATAGCGGACGACAGACTAGGAAGGCAGGAAGGGGCAACAACAGCAGGATCCTCTACCACAGTGGTTAACCACTGCGGTAGAGGATCTCTGAAGCTGAATGTATACACTGGCAGTTGTATTACTAGCATGGCTGTTCCAAATGGGGTTGCAAAAACGTTCGGATTCACTTGGCCCTGATTATGAAAATGAATACAAATGGTAGAGCCTGCTTACCTGGCTCGCTGGCGCCGAGACAGAGACAGCCAGTGCCCGCGCTGCAACGAGGACGGAGCGAATTCCGAACACGCCGTTGTGGGATGCAGCCATTTCGCCCGCGAGTGAGTGGAACTCAGGCAAAGTCAGGCGGAGGACGTCATCAGCCACATGAACCATCGGCAGAGGCAGCACTCAAGGCACCGGCGAACTATCTTATTCAAACACAGCAACTTGCAACCTCCCCAAGCAGAACAGCAGCGCGAACGAAGACCCAAGTTCGCGTTACTAACGCCAGATCCGGTTTTTTTTTTCTTTCTTTTTTTGGTTTTCAGAACTTCGCCGGCCGCCGTCTCAAAACTGGCGCTTCCAGCGGACGCGAGAGCCGCGCTGATTGGCCCGCGCGCTCCTTGTCCTTGCACGTGAGGAGCCCTTCTCTTTCCCGCGCTACGCGCGTGGAGACTGCATCGTCCCCGGTCCCGGGGCACTGGCACATTCCAGGCGCATGATTCATCTGGAGGGTGCGGGATCTTTCCCGCGCTTTTCCAGGCACCCCGCCTCGGGCACTTGCGCTTGAAGCGGCTTCTCCGTGCAAGCCAGGGTAGATAAAGGCCGCGGTAAAAAGCGGGAAAATGATAAAATTCGAGTGGGACCAATTTCGATAGTTTAATTTACAATTTCTCCGTGCAATTCCACTACAACCAGTTCATTTCGGGTTTGGCCTGTTCATATCCAAACTGTTTTCAAAGAGTTTTTTTTTCTTTTTCAATTGGGAAAGCGTGTTCTTTTTTATGTCTCATGGCACTCAAACGTCACTTTCTAGTTCGAGGGCTCTTGCCACAAAGCACCAAAAATATGGTAAGAGAACGCTCATACGAATTAAAAAAAATGGAAAAAGTTAAACGAACTACAGAGTAACAGTGGCTTTCAGGTGGGCATTCTGTGTCCGATAAAATACGAGCTTGAGCCACGGAACGTTGCACAGTGACAGTTTCCTGACATTCCTTGGCTCACCCTATCTTTGAACTGGCAACATGCCCGAATATTGGCTGTTGCTTGTGTTGAGCGGACCAGGGAATTCCTGCGAACTACCATGGAACCCCAAAGCTTGGCAGAGGCATTGCTACCCTGGCCATCTCTGACCGAGGAAAATCAATAGACAGCCAGGGTACATCAAATACTGGCAGCGGCCTGTTTACACTGGCCATCAATGACCAAGGAAATTGATCGGTCAACCAGGGAAAGCGTTCCCTGGCATTTCCGTGGCTTTCTGGAGCAAGGAAAGACTATGAAACGCCAGGCTGGCATACAGACGTAAATTGCTGGGCAGTCGTGGCCTAGCTATCACAACTAAGTGCCAACCCTGGCCCCAGCTAAACCAAGCAAGTGTGCTACCTGGGTGCTGAGTCCTTCAGGATGGTTAACAGGCAGCTCTATTGCCACACGGGTGCGATCCTCGGTTGTCCACATTGCGAACATTTGGCGTTTCACCACATAATAAACACCAAGAAAGTTTAAACCCTTAACGGCGTAAAATGGGTGTTTCAGAAGCTGGCAGCCATTGAACAGCATTTCAGCGTCATTATTTCGAGACATACAGCCCTTGTAAGCTAAAATAGGGTGGTGGTGTATGGAACTCTATTTTTGAAGGGTGTATGAGAGGTTTGCAATAGAGTGCTATGTACAGCGAGCACCCTTTTTGGGGGGTCTTCGCCGCACCGACACTTGCTTCAAGCAACTTTAGCGGACGTTAATTTAGCTATGCCGAATATTTATGGCTTCTACCAATGCTTTTGACTTAAAAATACATTCATTGAAATTAGGTATATTATGATGTGCGTGAAATATCGACAAGAACAAAGCAACATACTTGTAACCTTCGTAATGGCGGAGACGATGACCTGCGAATGAGTGCCTGAGCTGTCAAATCTGTCAAATATGTAAGGCGATAGAGCTGCCATCAGGTTCCTGATTCCTCTTTCGTGTGTAATTCATTGCCTCCGTAGTGGCCCCTTTTCTTTTTTGCTCATGTGAGAACTGAATGTGATGCTTGTTGCTTGTAAACGTACTGCTCGTAAAATACACACCCGGGGGGCTGCTAAAGCCGGGGTCCCTCTGCTCATACATCATACAAAAGACAGTCTGCAAACACAAGACATCGCAATATCCATGGTTCGAATGCCACATGCTAAGTTTTCTTCTTGATCTCATTACCATACGGCATTCGAAGTACGGATCTCGCGGTGACTCGCCTTCGAATCTCTATGCAGACTGTCTTTTGTATGATGTTTAAGCAGTGTGACCCCGGCTTAAGAACGCCAGAATTTTATTTGAGGGTGTTCGCCAGCATAGTAAGGGTGTTTCTGTAGTTAAAGCCCCTCTACCCTTAGAAATGTTGCGCCATTCGTTGTTGTAGATATGCTCGGTACACGTGCCGCGCGCCACTTCTGGGAAGAACAGGGCGTCTGAAACCTAGCTCAGTTAGAGTGTACTAGAATGTACCAGTGGGACGGAGCTACAGACTCTGCTCATGCTTCCAGTTCCACCTCAAAATGTGGAAAGCGATCAGGTGGAACCAAGCCACTTCGATCGCAGCGCCACCTTCGCTACGATCGAAGCCAGCGACGACACAGGACAAGGTCATATGGCGATTATAGCCCGTTAGGGGCTATATTGTATTTTTTTATGATTTTGACGTCAGAGGTAACGTCAAAGCACCACCACACGACGACGGGACGTTACGACGACGCCACGACGTCATCGTCGACTACGACGTTACGCGAAGCCAAGATGCTGCCCTAAGGCCGTCGTGACATCGCGTCGCATCGAGGACCACGTTGTTTTGCGGCATCAAGTCGCTGTTGTAACGCGGTCGTGACGTCGCTTTGAGGACGGCGCCGTTTCGCGACATTATGTCGCCGTTGTAACGCGCTCATGACGTCGCGCGCCGCGTCGAGGACGACGTAGACATGGTTGTCGATGTCGACGTTGACGTCGACGCCCCACGCAACGTAAAACATCGCTATGACCACGTTAACGTCGTCCTGACGTCATCGTTAACGTGAACGTTACAACGACGTCATGATGAAGCCTTGACGGCGTGTAACGTCGTCGCCTTCACCAGCATCAACATCGGTGCTCAGTAACGACGAAGTCTTCACGTCGTGTAACGTCGTCGACGATGACGTCAACGCCGACGTCGTGAAGTTCTCGGGTCGTCTTCGTGACGTAGAGTTGCGTCATGTTCACAATGACGTCGACGAACTCACACCAAGCGTCCTTATGAGGTTGCATTGACGAGGACACCGTCATCTTGACGTCCCGTGACGTTGTCGTCGTCGTCATCAAGGTCAACTTTGACATCGTCGTCGCTGTCAACGCAATATGACGTCAGAACACAGTCTTCATGTCATGTAACGCGCTGACGTCGTCACCGACGTCAACGTCGGTGACGACGTTGTCGTCAAGGCGTCGTCGTGATGTCGCATGACGTTGTGACAGAACAGCACACGACAAAACAGCACACGACAAAACAGCACGGTCAAAACAGCACGCGTCAAAACAGCACAGCGTCAAAACAGCACGCCGACAAAACAGCACGCGTCAAACTAGCA